GCCATTGCCTAACTCCAAAGTGAATTTTTTTCTTTATGTTAGGAGTTCTATGAAAGTGACATTGACATTAATGGAAAAGTTTTCTGCCAGTGGACTCAATAAGCTGTTTGTGGTCCATGAGTTGAGTTCTCCAGGGTCATTTAGCTCAATTTGTGTTGGCATTTGGTGCAGAAAGGCATCTCGCCCACAGGAATGGTATGTACTGAAGGAGAGCCACACCACAGCCACCATTGTCTTTAGGGTCTGGAGACAATCTTGTCACCGAGGAGGCCATTCCACACTGATTTTATTTAGAACCCACTTCCCTTTGTTTGTGTGATAGAAAGGGCAGCACGCTCTCATCCGGCAAATATTTAAAATCAGTTCTACAGAGGACTCATAATGATAGCACATTATTCAAAGAGAATTCTTGCACTTTCCATTAAAGTCCGTGGAGACCTCCTACTGACAACCACAGTCAGACTCTATCAAGTGACTCAGCCAGTGACTATGTTGGGGATTACTCAACAGAGGGCACACGAGCTGAAGCCAGCCAAAATTCTGAGCTGTCCTGCCTTCCTTGTCTCGCTGTTTTTAGGTTACGAGAACCAAGTCACCCTTTGTGCTTCAGGCAGCAAAAGTGAAAGTCATGACCTACTTCTCCTCCTTAGGAACTCAGGGGCTGGTGAGAAGTCCTGAAGAGCCCCAGGGCAGCCCTCCGACTTCCTTAATGTCAACGGCCTGGCGGTTTCAAGACTCCCATGCTGCTGATAAGAAGGGGCGTGGTTTTCCAGAAGTCGTCTGGCTGGACGTCTTGCTCACCCTCTATTGTCTGATTCACGTGGACTATCACCAGACAGCTCTCAGAGGGTTTCTAGTTATTTCTAGGATTTTGAAATCATCTGTCTTGTACCTTTGTAAAGTAACTATTGGAACTGAATCAGCGATTGGCCTGGAAATAGTTTCCGTTATAATCACTGGCTGCACTTAATGATCACCCGCTTATTACCATATCAAAGTTCCCTTTTCTCGAAATAAATCAAAGAGGCAGATTACATCGGAACAATTAAACTTTCCTTTGGTCTTTACAACACACTTTAACATTGTGGAATAATTTTTATTGAAGTTTCTAAAATTCCATGTTTTTAATTTGGACTGGCCCTAAGATGTTGAAATTTCAGATTCCGAAATTAGCATGTCTTGAAGAAAATGCTAGTTCCACAAGTGGATAACTGTGTAACCTTGGAGGACATGCCTAAATCTGTGCTTTCTTCTTTTTTTGGAACACAGAGTCAACAATGACAATACAGGAAGGAAAACACATGCACACACACAACATCACGTTAGTTAGAAGGATTAATTATCACGATCTCAGGGCCTCTCCACTGCTCTGGCATTTAGGATTTTTCTAGTTGATTTCAATGCCATGGTATTGAGCACTAGACACCAAACGACAGTGAGCCTCTGTGTGAAGGTGGAAAAAAAAGCAGCAGTGAGATTTCTCCCTGGGTGGGCATGTATGTGAGGTGATGATACAAGCCGGTTGATGACTGTTGACTTCAGAAGGGGCTCCTAGAGCCATAGTCTGAGCATTCTAAGAAACAGTCTATATTTCTGTATTTCTTTCCTGATGTGTAATTGCCTTATGGTTTGTTACCCAGTTACACAGACTGGATAGTAGTTAAAAAAAAAAAACACTCAAACATAGACTATATGAGAACAATTGGTCGTCCCCGGGGCTGGGGGCAATCAGTCTATCCAGTCTTTCCTGTGAGAGACAGGCGCTACTTCTCTCAAGCCATCCTGTCACAGCTGGTGGGCCATCTGACCCAGTGCAGGCACAAGCAGAGTCCCAAGGCTGTGTACAGGACACACACAGCTGGGCAGAATACAGCCAGGTGTGAGGGTGCCCATTTGGTTTCTATGTGCTGAGTTCTCTTAGGGAGGGAACACGATCAGACTTCTTTTACTAGGTTCACAATGCCCTAAGGATGGTATGGTGATATGTATTTGAGATGGCTAACATATCATCATGGGCTTGAAGCATGACATTTTCATATTTTTAAAAAGATTTATTTATTATGCATACAGTGTTCTGCCTACATGTCTGTCTGCACACCGGAAGAGGGCACCAGATTTCATTATAGATGGTTGTGAGCCACCATGTGGTTGCAGGGAATTGAACTCAAGACCCCTGAAAGAGCGCTCAGTGTTCTTAACCTCTGAGCCATTGTAAGACTTTAAGACAATCCTGAAGCCATTTTTGACAATTCTGAATCCTCTCAGCCTCTGTGCCATAGTGCTTCCCCTCCTCCCCTGGGAACCAAAGACCTAACAGCTACACTCGCACGTACTCAGTTCCTGAACAATTACCCATGTACGTATGCTTTGGTTCGGTCCCCTGGGAAACGGGGTCAAAATGACCTCTTACCTCATCTGATCTGGCAACAGCTCTCCAGTCAATTATTGGTAATAGCCCTTTCAAATAAGCCAATCAGAATAGTCAAAGAACAACCCCCTTGCTTCTGTGGCCCCTTTAAAAGTAGACTGTACCCGCTATTCGAGGTCCCTTGGCTTCCCGAATGCTGGGGGACCCTGTCATGACAGAATTAATAAAATCCTCATGCTTTTGCATCGGCTGTGGTGTATGGTCTCTGGGGGCGACTCCTTCTCGGTGTTTGGACGCCAGAGTCCAACACCATCTCTCCAGCTCCCATCACATTTTAATATTAAGGAATATTTGACTTGGCCATTTTTTTTTTTTTGAGTTAGGGTTTCTCTGTGTAGCCCTGGCTGTCCTGGAACTTTGTAGACCAGGCTGGCCTTGAACTCACAGATATCTGCCTGCCTCTGCCTCCTGAGTGCTGGGATTAAAGGCTTGTGCCACCATGCCTGGTGACTTGGTCATTTTTAAATCTCATAGACACATTCACTCATTCAAATAAGTATTTATTGTATGCTAAAGAATGTATGAAGAAGAGTGTAAGGTTTTCTCATAGAAGTCTTCTGGCCCTAACTGGACTGGGAATCCCTTCTAAAGCAGAGAGACTGTAGCTTCTTTACCTTTCTGCCTCCAGGTATCCTGTAGAAGAGACTCAGCCCATGCAAAGACACACACTGCATACGTGAGAACAGGCTGCAACCAGGCCAGCTCTCCATGCCCATTACCCAGATATTCATTTGTATGCCTTAGTCATCTTTCAAGTTGGAATTTCAGCACAACGAGAATGCAAATGCCTTCTCCCAAAGAAGACATTTGGCTGCGGGATGATGTTAGACCTTTCACTTAGATTAAATATATAATTCATGCTCCTATATAAAAAGCAGATGAAATCAACAACAAATAGAAACTCTCCAGGGATTCGTGTGTTTCTGAGGGTGAAAATAACAGCTTCAAAGAGGCGCCCTCTCTGGTTCAGATCCTCTTTCATGCAGCCCAAGGAAATGAGGAAAAAATTCCAAACCCACAGAAGGTTTTAGGGCTGAACATTTTGAGTCAATATGTTCTGCTCTCAAGTATTTGGCCCTTGTTAGAGTTTCTCGCTCTGTGTTCCCAGTCTGTGCTCCATGGCGAGAAAAATAAGTCTGATGGTGATGTGCAAAACCTTTTTTTCAAGCCTGTGACAGCGAGCTTGAGAAAACACGTATTAAAGGAACGTCTTGTAATGTTTAGCCCCTTTCCTGAGGCTGCCCTCAGTCAGCTTGATCCAATGTTTATTGTATTAAGGACTTAGCTCACTGGGCGTGAACACTCTGAGGTCCCTCTCAGAGTCACCTAAGGTAAGTACCTATTTCACCACACTCTCAAATGAAGTTTCTTTTATGCTCTGTCTTTTTGCATACGTGTGGCAAAGCGCTAATGAGAAAGTTTTATAATGGCGGCAGGCAATTCCCCAATTTCTTATTTGCTTGAATTAACTTTTTACAAGCTGAGGGGTTCACTCTGGCATGGGCTTAATCCAGACTCTGTAATCAGCCCACAATCTGTGCCTCACAAAGGCTGGCCTCCCCCACCGCCAGCTTCTTCCTTCCATACTTTTTCCGTGGGGTAATCCATTTTAATTGGTACCTCTCTGTGAGCCCCTTACATCTCCGTCTGGTCAAATAAACACTTCCTTTTTAAAAGATTCCGCTCTAACATCTTGGCAGTTAACAGGAGGATAAACGTGCCAGGATTGGTTATCTTTAAGATGTTAAAAATCCCCAAACTGAGGGAGAGAAGATGCAGGAGACAAAGCGTTTACCTCAATATTGTATTGACTAAATGAAAGCAGGCATCTGGCATGCTTAGCACGGCACTTTGTTCGGATCAGCTAGCGATTCCTTTTAGTAAGGTTGGTGGACCAAATTCCTTGGGCGGCGGAAAGGGTGTGGAGTGGTGAACACTGGTTCGTCAATTGACTGCTGCCAATTAGCAGGGGGCATGGTTCATTCGTCAAGCAGCCCCACAAGGAATAACTGCAAGACAATGTGGACTGGGTGCTCATTCCCTCATTTAGTGCGGCCTCAGCTCTGAGAGGCTCTGGAACACAGCTGGGCAGATGTTTTCCCCAAGCTTCAGGGTCATTTGTGTGAAATAAAGATACTTTCAGAGTGAAATGTCTCTTCCTTCCTTCCTTCCTTCCTTCCTTCCTTCCTCCCTCTCCCTTTTCCTCCCACCTTCTTTTCCACCTTAAAATAATTAAAGTGGAGATTGGACCTAGGGCTTTGCCCTTGCCTTGTAAGTGCTCTACTACAAATCCATCCCACCCTCGCTCTCTTGATAACCACAAACTGACCAAAGACTCTTCTCTCTCCTTTCTGTTTCTGTATCTCTCCCTTCCAGCATCTTTTTCTGCACAACCACTCCAGTGAGAAACCTTTCTTAGAACGAGGCAGAGGTCAGCCACTAACTACTCTGTAAATAAGTACAACATGGGGCCTTTACCACGCAGAGGGCAACTGCAGCCGCTGGGCTCATCGACCCCTGTACACCTGAGGGTGTACAACTGGCTCTTTGTAACAGGGAGGGGGGCACTCACCGGTTGCCTTTTCGGGGTTGTTGCACATGAAGCATTGCCAAGCCCCTGCTGTCTCACTGAAGCCGAACACATCAAAGAACCTCACTTCTTCCAGATGGAGCTGAACCTGGTCCAGATCCTGTTTCAGGGACACGGAGCACAAAGAAATGAGCACACCTGCCTGCTACAGAGCGCCTGACACCAGAAGAAGGGGATGTGGAAGTGGAACGGCCAAGGCGCAACCACAGTGCTGGGACCAAGAGCGCATTGAAAAGGGCTTCTCTTGGCCAGTCTTGGAACATAGCTCAGACTCTTTCATGGGATGGCTCTTCACTGTTGGATGAGAAAACATAATCTCAGCCCCAAGGCTTCGGGTGCAAGGAGACACGCCAGGACTTGAAATGGCTCAGAATTTTCCTGCACTTAAGCATCTCCAAAATTTCCATAAAGAAAGAAAGGACGTCAGAGTGGTACTGTGGTTGAAGGAAATGCTGCTGGAGGATATCTATCTATCTATCTATCTATCTATCTATCTATCTATCTATCTATCTATCATCTATCTATCTATGTCTGTCTTGTTTGTTTTGTTTTGTTTTTTGAGTCAGTATTTATCTTTGTAACAGACCTGGCTGTCCTGGAACTTACTTTGTAGACCAGGCTGGCCTCAAACTCACAGAGATCCACTTGCCTCTGCCTCTGAAATGCTGGCTGAATGGCTTTACATTTAAGTCACATATAAAATTAAGAACTCATTATTCATACCCAAAATACAATTTTCATAAGGTTGGCTTTTTAGAGAGTGATGGAAAATATAGGGATGGACTCATTTGCCCTCATCTCCAGCACGGTTTAGCCTTATGAGTTATCTTAGATCTATATGTAAATATTGTCTTCTATTCCACAACATTGTGCTATTGCTTTTAGTGGGAATTCATCTCTGACATTGTTCATTAGTAAATTAAACATTTTTTGAGTAGATGAGTAAAATTTGACGGAGTAAGATGGTTTATTTTTTAGTGGCCTGTAGCACCCTGCCTGTGTGTTCTTTTTTAGGAGGCGGAGCAGAAAGATGGTCCCTTAGACTGTAAGCAGATGAGAATCCATTAACCTAAGCAAATAATATTTTTCTACGTCCTCCAGGGCCTTTCCAGTTGTGTAAATAACCTGTATCCTGAGTTACCAGGCAGCAGGACTGCACTCTTGGGAGTCTGATCCTCCTAAGAGACTTGCGTCCTGCTAGCTTTGCTTGCATGCACTCCTTCAACGTACTCTGCATGTGAGCACTGGTGTACTGTGACTTCACTTTCTTGCCTTTCGTCCTGTATTTTCATCTTCCCTACTAACAGTAACAACTGTAATAATTCGGAAAGGCCAAGTGATTCTTGTGGTGTTTGCATGGCTTCGGATGGACCGGGTAGAGAACAGGCAATGGGGTCCGTAAATCCCATCCCAAAGTGATGGCTTCTCCATTTGTAGACACAGATGAGAAGCGCACTAGACTCTGAGCCATTTGAGAGTGGAATCCAATCTGCTTTGATATCAGCTGTATCCCGAGTATCTATTATAGCCCTGTAGTGGAATGGCATCATTGGTTTGTATGCCAGTACAAATTCCATTTGCCAAAGTAATATATAAAAGGCATGATGGTAATTTAAGAATTGTTTTTAGAGAACGTCCGTGCTCATCAATGTGTTTATTGCAAAAAAGAGATTTTTTTTAAAAGAATGTTCCCCAAGATAAAGACCAAAGAAGCACCTGGGAACTTTGTAGGTTTCAAGGGATAAAATCCATATTAAAATTTATGGGGAGAAAGCAGATGTTCATAAATATCTGTTTCAAAACTGCAAGGTCTCTGAAGTCTGTCCTTGGCCATCGGCATGCAGATGAGTCTCTGTTTCTCACACAATTAGAGATCAAGTCTTCATCCCCTGCAAACAATACTAGCAAACAAAGGACTAAATAACACCTAGAGCTTCCTTTATTTTCCCCTGTCCTGAGACCGGGAATGTCCCAGGTTGTTGCCTGTGATCCACACTTGCTTTGGCAAAAAGTTCCTTGAGAGGTTTAAGACAGATGGTGGGCCGCATCCCAGTGCTCGAGTATCGAAGCCAAAAGCAGGTTTAGCCCTCAGGAGGATTGAGGTGCTGTGCAAAAGGATCGGAGTGAGGAGGACAGACCGTAGTTAGAGGAGCTATTGCAGTCGGCAGTAATAACCAACTTCCAACAGACAGATGAAACACATGCAATTTCAGCTATCGGTGGAAAATCAAAGTGAGTCACAGAACACGCGAGTGCAGATGACCACGGGTAAGTTTGGGAATTTGTACTTCTTAACTGGGCCTGGGCTCATTTTTTAAATTTATCTTTACCTTCTGAACCCGCAGTTTTGCCCCAGAAGTGATGTATGACCACATCTCCTTCTCCACCGCTCCTTTCATCTTCCAAACAAGAGACCCTGACTCGAAAGCTAGTTTAGAAGATTACACACTTCTTTTTAGATATCTAGACTACGGAAGAAGGTTAATATAGTTCACATCCGGTTCTCCTTCCCTCTCCGGGTTTTTCAGTTCTGATGGGATCGTGGCAGATCGGCGGGCCTTCAGATGGTCTGCCAGCAATTTTCACCTCTCAGTCAGTGTTCAGCTGCTTGTGTACTTCTTTACCGTGGGCATTGGAGGCTCCTGTGTCTTTTTAGATGATGGCAAAGATGATAGAATATCAATTTCATAACACACACAGCCTTACATACATAAGATCCATCTTTAGCACACACCTGCAAAGGAAGGCTTCCCTACTGGGCTAGAAGAAACAAACACGAGGGAACTATGAGCAACTTCCGGTAGCCAGCAAGAGATCAAGAACTGTGCTTGTCCAACAACAAATAAATGGTTTCTGTCAAGACCCTGGTCTTTTGGCTATTCTCAAGAAGAAGGATGGTCCTCTTTGGAAGAGTCAGTCTCTCAGGTGTCCGTCAAATCAGGTCTCAGCGAAACCTGATTGACAATGAACTCACATTGTTTATGTGGGCAAGAGTTACTTAATAATGTTAGTAAACATGTTCTGAGAAGGATTTCTCTAGCAAGTTTCACTTAATTAAAAAGGTTAAGAAATCACTCAAGGGAAAATGGTCTTGTAAAACAGTTGCTTAGGTAAGTTTCTCTCCAACTTTAGGAAGAAGCAATTAACGGAGCTGAGAACCTGGAAAACCGTAAAGAACGCTCTTGTAAATCCACTTCAGGGAAAATAAACAAGGCAGTGGCGAAAGCTGGTGGACATTTACAATATTATTTCATTACGTTGTATAAAACTCTGTGTATGTGTGTGTGTGTGCGCGTGCATGTGTGTGTGTGTGTGTGTGTGTGTGTGTGTGAATAACAAGGGAAACAGGTAGCTCAGCACGCAAAGACACTTGGGTAAGGGGCTTTTGACCAAGCTTGATGATCTGAGTTCCATTTCTGGATTCCATGGGGGAAAGAGAGAACCAACCCCTCAAGCTGTCCCCTGACTTCCACATGTGCACATGATGTTAATACCATGCCCTCCTCTAAGTAATACAAACATGGAATAGCTGTTTTTAAAGCGTGCAGTGGGCTCTAGAGCTCACACCATGGCCTATGTACTGAGAGGAAATTGTGAAGGGTTTTCTAGAAATCCGCCAGAGCACACATCTGGAAGAGCTTTGGCTTCTGGCACATATAAACTCTGTTCTAAAGCTCTCCATGCACAGAAAGAAAACGCGGGCTTGCCTTGTGTGCTGTGTGAGCTTCTGGTTAGCAGAACTGGCCCAAGACTCAAGTACCGTATAAGAAAGAGAAATGAAAGATTTCAAGAAGTCTTGAATGTTCTTGCACATTAATAAGGACTCCATGCCTTAATAGCTATTTCTAGAGTACACACCTTAATTACACGAGGTCCCAGGCGTGAAATGAATTTACCGAGGGAATATAATCAATAATTCATCCATCATTGGACAGGCACAGTGTAAGAAACACTATGTTGAACGCATGGATTAGCAAGAACTCAACCTTTTTATTCTTCCAGCTACTGAAAAATACTGCTGTTGAATTCAATTAAAAAAAATGCACTGTTAGAGCAGCTGGTGTGTCTGGGAACTGTGGATAAAGGGAGAGAGGTGGCATAGTTCTGCAGTCCCAGGAAGTGGGAGGGGACGATGGAAGATGCCCTCCATATGTGTGCGGTAAGTGGCTTACTACATGACCTTTGACCCTCTGCTGAACAAAAGCTTCTTCACAGAAAGACTGACTGTTTTGCTCTTTTGTCAGTTTTGGAAACACAACAAATAGTGCTTTGCCCGTAGTCTATTTCAATGAATTGTTATTTTACTAAGTGAGGTACTATATTATGCTAATGGTGACATTTAGGCTTTTTATTTCCATGTTTATTCAAGTATGCTCATTAAAGATGTTCAGAGTACTTATTTTACCCCCCTTTTAAGAAACGGGCCTTGCTGCGTTGCCCAGGTTGGCCTAGACTCATGTGACCTGGAGACTACCTCTTTGGCTGGGACAACAGGTGAGAGCTACCATATTCATCTAGAGAGCATCTCTTTGAGTCTCTAATCTGGGAGGGGAGGATGTAGTCCAATGGTAGAGTACTTGCCTAGCGTGAGCAATGCCTTGAGCTTAACCCCAACCCTGCAGATACAACACAAATGATACAACACACCCACATCGCTGTGAATATTGCAGGAATTCATTTTGTTCAACAGTGTTTAGAATAGAATCAGTAAGTGGAGACGTGTAGGAGTCTGGATCCGTGGCACGCTGGTAATTTCCTCAAATCGTTAGCTCTCAGTCAGATTCAACATCAGGACTCCTGGGAGACCTGCTCTAAACACTGTATGTAGTTCTCATCTGTGACAGCCTAACGTCAGCCTGTGGTCAGCTCTGCGAGCCGGAGCTTTTCAACAAGCTTTCTGAGCTATTCTGTTGTACCTGTCTGGGAAATTCTACACCTTTGGGAACAGATGTGGAGATGGCTGACCTGTGTCTATGAATCGGTATCTGAGGAATTTGTCAATTTCCTGGTACATCTGCTCATACATACGATCCCTCAGTATTGGTTTTCATGTGACAAAGTATGTAGTCTGGTTACCAAAGCACACTTGTCATATTTAAA